GGGGTCCAGGGAATCTTCTTGGTTAGGGTTTGGGTTCGGGGTCCAGGGAATCTTCTTGGTTAGGGTTTGGTTTCGGGGCCAGGGAATCTTCTTGGTTAGTCTCTCGCCGACAAGACGTTTGCTGTCTCTAAGCACCTCCATCCATCTGCCTTCGGGTGTTTCAAGGCATTCCTGTTCAGATGCTCATGTAGGGCGGCTGGTTTTGATTCAGTGGTCTACATTGCCTTAAGTTGGGGGAACTAGGATTCACAGCACGGTCGTAGCTGATCCGCAGACCCTACAGCAACATTCAACATGTGTTCTGAAAGCCTTGACCTAAACTACTACGACTGACTTGTTGGTGGGTTCCAAAAGAGCCCAGACTAAATTCTGAGTTGTGGCAACTGAAAATGCAGACTGAGAGACAGGATAGTCTGCTCGAGAGAATGCAGGAGAGCCCTAAACCTCCCAAGACCTGAACACCTGAACCCTCAACTTTAGACCCTAAGCCCTACTAAACCCTAAATCCCAAACCCTAAACCCTTGACCGCACTGACCCCGAATCCTAAATCCTAAACCCCTGAAGCCCTAAACCTTCGTCCGAAAATTCCACGCACTCAGTCATCTAATCATTAGGGCTTATAGGGTTTAGGGTTTAGGGCTCCTTTAACTCTTATAGTAACCATAATGCAACTCCTTTAAACGCAACCCTTATAGTCATCCTCACGTTGCTCCTCGGATTGATCGACCTTCAGTAGGCAGTAGCCTCGGACCTGTTGTCAGTTGCCAGAGAGGCTTGGATTTCGGTTTAGGAAATGGGTGAGTTTTCTGAATTAGGGTCCTTTTTGGGTCCTTTTTTTGCTATATTGGGGACCTAAAAAGGGACCCTAGTTTAGAGAACCACTCAAATGGTCGCATAGTTAGTCGGAGGGTCTGAGTTTTCGGTTCAAGCAACCCGTCTTGGGTTTTTTGGGTCTTGGGTTTAGGGGTTTTGGGTTTAGGGGTCTAGGGTTTAGGGGTATAGGGTTTAGGGGTACAGAGTTTATTGTTGAGTCTAAGAGTCTGGCATGTCCAGTTGGACAATGGGCTTAAGAGTTCGGGATTCGGTGTGTAGGACGTAATTAAGATCCGACTTGTGCGGCTGATGATGCTTCCTGTGACTGTGAGCCACAACCACCAGAAACACAACAGATGCTCTGAAGACCCAAGAATGACAGCCCTCCTGAACCATCATTGGAATCATTGGAATCCTAAACTCCTAAACCCTAAACTAAACTCCTAAACCCTAGACCCCTAAAGCCTAAACCCCTGCCCGTGCTGCGTTCTTGTCGGCGGTTGAAAATGCCCCCCCGGTCCTCCTGCTCTGACTCACAAGGCCGACATGATCGGATTACTACGCCCTTATAAGGGTAGTTCCCTGAATTCGGGTCCCTTTTTGGGTCCCCAATATGGCGCGGCACCTTTATCAAAAGGATCCTAAACGGGACCCCACGTCTGAGAACCACCGGTTTCTGTCACAGAAACCTTCAAACCCTCAAGGGCCGGCACCTGGAGCTGATCCAACAAGCAAGTAATGTAGGGGCCTTAATAATTAGAATAGGGTTTTGGGCTCTTTTATCATACCACGATAGTAAGGAGCTCTAAGGAAGAATATGGGCTAATTATTAAATAGCTGGAACCTCGTAAACAATATTCGAGGCTTGAAAGCCCCAGGTTTGGGGCCCATAAAAAAGCCCCAGGTAAGAATCTGAACTAAACTTGCAGCATCGCAATCAAACTCTAAAGGCCAAAATCGAGCATGCTGAAACAAACCTTCAACAAAAAATGCCTTCAAGAAGCACACGAGAGCCGTGCCATGCAAACAAAAAGTTTCCCACATCATGCCTGCGGCTTCGTGTTCCGGATGCGCCAGAAGCTGTCGCCATTGCCACGGATGCCTTCAGGGCAAAGTGCTGACGACTGCCAAACGAATGCGAGAAAAATATCGAGCTTCACGTAAATCGGAGGGTTGGGTTGCTGGTGACAATGATGATGATGATGATGAAGATGATGATGATGATGATGATGATGATGATGCCGCTGCCGCCGGTGCTGAGGATGAGGATGAGAATGATAATGAAATGGGGATGAAGAAAAGTGATACGAATAAACATTGAGCAATACTAAACTGCGCTAACAATCTGATTGTAATTGTGATGATGTTGATGATTACGACGATAAAGACGATGATGATGAGGATGTCAAAGATACAGAGGCAGCTTCACACGTTGGTGCTAAGTCTTAGGCTTGCTGCCAGTATTGGTGTTGTTGCAGTGATACCAACTGGCGACAATCATAATGACTCGAAGCACCGGTAACAGGAACAGCAGCAGCCGCAGCAGTTGCGATGAAATCCGTCCCTAACCCTAAACCCTAAACCCTAAACCCAAAACCCTAAACTCTAAACCCTAAACCCTAAACCCAAAATCCAGATACAATCTGCACCTCCCCGACCGCGGATGGTCACGTTGCGTGAGTTCCGCAGCAGAAGCCTCCAGCTGCTTTTGGTTCAGGGACTTCGCCTAGTGTTTAGTTTAGGGTTTAGGGTTTAGGGTCTAGGGTTTAGGGTTTAGGGTTTAGGCCACAAGAGTCAGGCGGTACTGAATCAACCCTATACTGTAGATGCCCGAAAGTTGGAACATCATGATCCTCATGCCCTCAATGTAAAGTATAGGGAATCCCAGAACGAATCATCCTAAATCCATGTTCCAACTTGCTGGGGTTCACTATAACGCTTTCAGAACCCAGAGATGTCAAGATCTGGCGTTTGACGTTGGCAAACTGTGCTTCAGGATCCGAATATACCGATCTGAAGAATTACTAAGGCTAGTCCTCTCTCTGGGTTCCATATCATATCACGGGACCAAAGGAGGAACCCTTAAAGGGACCCTTGGTGGGGTTATATAGGGGCTTTACGAGACTATGTAAGGGGTTAAGGATTGTGTAGGGTGTTTGAAATTGAATCCCTGAACTCCAAACGCAACCTCAACCTGAACTCCTAAACCCTCAATCCTAGCCCCGAAGCTCGACAAACCTCGAAAAAGACAAACCGCCGAGCCCAAAACTCACTAAAAACCAACTCCAAGAGAACCTCTAAAGCTGGCCAGAGCTCTAATATAGGGGCCTGAATCATTCGACTAAGGTTTTGGGCTATCTTGTACTATAACTATAATAAGAAACCTCCAATATAGTATAGGTATTTATTAACCCTAAGGGATTTATGGTTTTAGGTACCCAAAAAGGCCCCAAAGTCCTTGAATAGTGGGTACTTGGACCCTTAGGGTAATCAAGGCACCTATAGTAACCCAAACCCAAACCTCTAGAAGCCTGCAACCCTCAGCTGACCCTCTACAATCAACAGCCCATACATCGCTCCACTCTCACCTAGTTGCTGAGTTCATAAGCCCCAAAACGTGTAACCTTTCGAATCAGTTCTACTGTTATCCCAAAGATGATCTGACTTTCAGTCCTTTTGGGGACAATCATATGCTCTCCAAACAAAGTAAAGTGCACCCAGTCAGCTACTAAACCCTAAACCTAAACCCTGAACCCTATGCCCCTCAACCCGAAACCCATACCCTATACCCTCAACCCTTAAGCCTAAGCCCTAAACCCAAAGCTCTTAGGCCTAAACCCAAAGCCCAAAACCCTAAACCCCAAACCCAAAACCCTAAACCCAAAGCCCAAAACCCCTAAACCCCAAATTCGAAACCCCAAACCCAAAACGCCCTATACTCTAAACCCTAAACCCCAAAACTCAAAACCCCCTATACCCTAAACCCAACCCTGGGCTGCCGGCAGCGACCACTGCGAGCGCGCGAACTCGGGACTCGGCCCTCCGGACTTGCAGTCCGCCTCCACCGAAGTTTCGGGTTTTGGGCCTAGGGCTTCGGGTTTTTGTAGGGCTTAGGGCTTAGGGTTTTGGGCCTAGCGCTTCGGATTTTTGTAGGGCTTAGGGGGGTTTTGGGCCTAGGGTTTCGGGTTTAGGGTTCTGGGCTTAGGGTTTTGGGCCTAGGGCTTAAGGGTTAGAGTTTAGGGCTTATAGGGTTTTGGGCCTGGGGCTTCGCGCTCTTAGGTTTTAGGGTTTTGGGCCTGGGCTTCGGGCTCTTAGGTTTTACGGTCTTGGGCCTAGGGTTTAGAGCTTAGGGTTTAGGGCTTTGGGCTTCGGGCTTCGAGATTGGGGTTTCGGGTTTAGGGCTCAGGGTTTAGGGGTTAAGGCTTCGGGCTTCGGGTTTGGGGTTTAGGGTGCAGGGTAGGGTCGGGTAGGACTTACACCGCAGGGCTTATGGTTTACAGTTCTTAGAGTCTCTAGCAGGAACGGAGTTCAATGTGGTGTCTAACGTTGAGGAACAGTGTAGACAAGAAGGAGCTCCATGCTTATCATGGCACGCCTCCACGAGGGTTTAGGGCCTAGGGCTTTAGGTTTATAGGGCTTGGGGCATGGATTTAAGATACTGGCCGGTTGGAGTTACGTAAAGCTTATGTAGGGCTTGAGGGGTAGTTACGATTGATTGAGATTGCCATCCCAGACAATCCAATATCCCTTACTTAAGGAATATGCGATGAATCATGAAGGATCCTGGGCGAAACTGGTACAAAAAAAAACTGAGCCCAAGGGAAGACGGAGCAAAAAAGGCGCCAAACTCCACCTCAAACCCCTCAACCTGAAACCTTCCCTAAACCCTAAACCCTAAACCTTAAACCCCTCAACCTAAAACCTTGGATATCAAGCTACGCAAGCCTAGAGTCGAAGAAACCCTAAACCCTAAACCCGAACCCCTAGAGTCGAAGGATGCCCGTCGAAACCCGTGATCTTTTGTCTCCACTCGGCTGTGAAATCGGAGGTGCCAACATCAGGGTGAAACTTGAACCTACCTAGACCCTTTAAGTGTAGTACCTTTTCTTAGTTTCTTATTATAGGATCCAAACCCTAAAACAGGTCATGAAACAAAAAGTACTACCTTGAAGGGTCTATGTATAAGGCAAGCGTCCCAAGTCCACTGGAAGGAATCCGATGAGGAAATGCGAGAGGTGTGTCCGGCTGTTCTCGGGGCTTTCCGGGGCTTTGCAGGCTATGCAGTCCACAGCTCTGCCGTGTGGGGTTCTGCACTTGATTCCAGAGAAGCCTTGCAGCTATTGGGGCCGCAGCACCCAAAGACTGTCCATGAAAGGAGGAGGGGTAAGACACGACCAAGCCTTAACCCTAAACCTTCGACCCTCAACCCAAAACTCTAAACCCTAAACCCCAAAACCTAAACCTTCCAAAAAAAACTCTAAACCCTAAACCCCAAACCCTAAACCTTCGGGGTTTAGGGTTTGGGGGTTTTCGGCTGGGCAGCTGTCGCAGGTTCCTTGGGCCGCCTGGAACAAAGAAACCAGGGCATGGCACCCTGTTTGAGAGCAACATGGAGCCCCATCACTTAAAGGGTTTAGGCTTAGGGTTTAGNNGGGTTTAAAGGATCATGGGACTTAGTGATTAGGGTTACATATAAATCAGGTAACTAAAGTTATAATTAGTTGTAACTCCCATTAAGGTACTTATAACCCTACTTACTAAGTGAGAGTAACATGGAGCCAAGTAGGAGTTAGGATTGGGGGGAGCCTTGAAGATATGGACCCTCTCAATAAGGTCCCCTGGTAAGAGAGCCAGAAATAGGGTTCAGAAGGGGGTCTCCCCAATACTACCTGGGAATCAAGGACCCCTTCAAGGAACCCTTACTTGAAGGAACCCCTTTAAGGACCCTTTAAAGCACCCCGTATGGGAGGCTTGAATGCCCTAAGCTGTGTAAGCCTTTAGGGTTTAGGGCCGAAGCCCTAAACCCTAAACCTTAACCTGCATGTTCATGGCCTCCTGCTAGTCGCCAAGGACCCTACTGTATCTTTCGGGAGGAGGGCGGGTTCCTTGCTGACACTCCCATGTAGCCCCCTGCTTGGAGGACATGGTCTAATAGAGTGTGAGTGGATAACTAGAATATTCAGGGTTGAGGGTTTAGGGTGGGTGCATTATAGTATATCAGTAGCTAACTTACGGATGCTAGGGAACGGTATAACTAAATATCCCGGGCCCTATACGAAAATGGCCCCCCCCATTCCAGGTTCCATGTTAGTCTCACGAACGCCAACTCTGATGAAACAGACCTGTTCAGCCTTGGAACAGGCCTAGATCGGAGCCACTCCCCTAAACCCTAAACCCTAAACCTAAACCCTAAACCCTAAACCCTAAACCCTAAACCCTAAACCCTAAACCCTAAACCCTAAACCCTAAACCTTAAACCTAAACTCTGTCCTAGATCGGAGCCACTCTGTAGTCCCTATGACCACTTTTACAAGTGATGCTTTACTTCACCCAGAGACCGTCAAAAGGGCACGGTTTTTTTCGACCCCTGCAGGGAATGCTTTCATGCCTTTCCCGTGGCGGGA